GACCCTCCTTATTTACCCTGATAGCACTTGTAATGGTCTTAGTTGACACCTCAGTTGATGGTAACTTCATCCTTCCAGTTGTGTAGGCTCCACACCTTGGAATCAACCTTGGTTCTCCCTCTTATATCCCACATTTATCCCACCAGGAAACACTGATGGCTCTGTTTTAAAAATGCTAACATTCTGGCCACTTGGCACTGCCTCCCCTGCTACCACCCTGTCTTGGTCTGAGCCACTATCATCTTTGACTTGGTTACGAAACCACTTCACTGGTAGTCCTGCTTCTATGTTTGCCCTCGTACAGTATGTTCTCAATAAAATGACCCTTTAAAAACTGTTCAGATCCTCTAGTGGCTTCCCATTCCTTTAGAGTAAAATTCTTACAAGGCCCAGATGCCCTACCATTTTACCCTGCTGGCATTTAAACACTTGAGAAAAAAAAATATTGTCTTTATTGTTCACTAAAGAATCTCAAGTACCTAAAATTACCTGGTAACATAGTAGGGGCTCAATACATATCTTTGGATTAAATGAATAAAACTTGTTTACTGATTCATTGTTTATTTTTCCACTGTTGAAATGCAAGATACATTGGTCTTGTTTCATTTTCTAGCCAAAGCCCTCAGAACCGACCTGGTATACAGTAAGTGCTTGACAAGCTCTTGTTAAAGAAATAAGTGAATATCTACTATGAAAAGATTATTGCATCTGCTTACACTATATTGACTTAACGTACACATTACATTACGCATAGTTTCCATTCATCACTCATAGGCAACTATCTATGGTGAATGAAGAGTATTAAACAATAAAGCAAAGAATAAACAGTTCATATAAATAGAACTTTATGGGAAGCAAGCAGTATATAGGGTTATGGTTGCCCCAAAGTTACAATCATGTAGTAAACTGGAACACTTTCAGTATATTATCACTATTCTTTCTGCAGTTTGCTCTGCCTGTATCAACTCTTCTGCTTAACTTCCTCAGGAAAAAGAAAGCTATTGCTTTACTGGTTATTTGTAAAACTGCTTACCCTGGGGCATTTTTTTGGTTGTTTTTTTTTGTTTTGGTTTGTTTACAAAAATGAAAAAATGTCATTTCCACATAGAAGAGCACTTTGTATTCTTGAAGGAGAGATTTGCACTTTCAATCACTTACATAATCTATTTTGTTTTTCATGTGTTTTGAAGGGCATTCATATCTGTGTATGGCTGTGTGCAAATGGAGAGGATCCACAACTATTCTCTGTGATTGTTTGGATTGTTAATCTCTCCAGGGTTTCCTCAACATTCTCAGAGACAGTTTCTGGCACCAAAGGGAAAATGGAGAAGTTGAGATGCAATTTTATCTCCCAATTGAACTTGATTAAATGGGGACTGTTCTAATCAAAAGTTTGGCTCCTAGGGGAGTGCAATGTTGTTAACGGGTTTGAGAATATTTGAGAAGAAAAGGGAGGAAAAGTACTGAAGTTAAGGCAGAGAAAGCATCAGGCAAGAACATAATTGTAGTAAAGCTCATTAAGGCATAAAATTAGGTGAACAAATTGCTTCACAGATAGTGATAAGCTCCTTGCTAGACTGGCAAAGGAAGTGGAAGAAAGCTACTTGAAAACATTATTTTTATTATTTTAATAATTTGTGTAGGAAGCATCGTAGCTGCAGTCTGTTAGCCAGAAACAATTGCCAGCTGGTGTCATCGTGGAGTAACTATAGTAGGCTGAATGCAAACGTGTTTTTCCTTTTTACCTGGAAAGCATTCAGTTGTAGAAAGTTTCTATTTATTTTCCCTGATTGTGAGGTCCGCCCTTGTAGATAAGAAAGTCTGTTTATTGCATGTTTTAAGAGCTATGATTAGTTTCCCACCAAGTTCTAGAACTTGATAGGGAGACCACACTTGGGACAGATAGCATTCACAGAACCAAAGCCTGTCATTAAAAACGAGTACTTGGGTCCATGCCTGAATAATTTGTGTCATTGCTTGATTCTGTGCGTTGATTTCCTTGCGGTTACCTCAAGGAAATTGTGGCGCTTCATTAGGTATTTTACTGAAAGCAAAAGCAGACCTTCTGGGATAGTGTTCTTTGAAAAGGGTTGAAGGGGCACTTATTTATAGAAACATACATTTTGTTAGCAACATAGCTGTTTTATTTGTTTGTTATAATGTTTTCTTCTGAAATTACCCTACATAGTTTCTTTTAACAAAACAATGATACAATCATGTTAAGTTGTTACCGTCTTTCCCCCTGTTTATCTGGAAACTCACAAGAGCAGGTACCAAAATACTGCAGGGTGTAGACATTGCTCAGCTTTGCCTATCAAACCAGAGGGAGAGGGAAAAGTATTTAATTGTTCTCTTGCAATTCCATTGTCTCTTCCTGCCTCTTGATTCAAAGGGTCTCAAGAGGGGAGAGAGGAAATTATGGGCTCTGTTGTTGATGTTCATTGAATTTCTTCAACAGGGATTTGAATGTATTTCAGGGATGGTAGTGGCTTCTAATCCTGACTCGGCTTTCACCCAGCTTTCCTTGGTTCAGTTTCCTCATCTCTGAAGGGGGATATTATACTCCTCTTAGCTCCTTAGAGTGTTGCTCTAAGAAGCAAATGAGATAATGGCTAGGAAAGTGCTTTCCGCTATACTAATTGCCACCAGCACTCAGGTTATATATACATTTGGGTAGCTAACAAGGTTATATTGATCCATGTGATATCAAGTGATTTTATGGAAAATGAGAAACCTCTCAAATAAAATAACAGTATGATAAAATTTCTACTTTGCTAAAGCAAATGTATGCATTATAAAATAAGTAAGACCATTAACTAGATACATTCAGAAAGTAATTGTTGGGTTTTTGTTCTATTTCAATTTCTTGCTTTTGAGAGTAGTGTGATGCCATTAACAGGATTTCAAACTTGAAGTGAAAGAAAAAGAAATGGAATCAAGTAAACTTTAAAGAAGCTGATTCATCTTACCTAACAGCTTTCTTACTAATATAGGCTCATACAGTATTAGGAAGAGTACTGTCTGTGGTTGTTTATAGAATTGGAAAGAGGAAAGGAAGCAGGGGAGGGAAGCTTTGATGTGAAGAATCCCACCTGCCTAGAATAATAAAAACAAACAAACAAACAAACAAAACCTTCCTATGGGCAAGTGTTAGCATCCCTGAAACAGATCTGGATCTTAATTGATAGCTGTGAAGAGACAGTCTGACAAATGGAAGAGATCAGCACAGTGTCTCAGGAAGAGACAGAAAGCTCACAGATCCATAAGGGGGCCAGGTGGGAAAGTTGGCTGATACCAAAGCATGGAATGTCAGGTGTGGTGGATTGGGATCCTGAGTGTAGCAAGGAGGGACACGATGACTTGGGCCAGGAAATCAAACTATGTTGTCTCTGCCTTCAACACACTGCCACTCCCTACTTGGATCAAGAAAGAGCAGGAGCTTACTCCACTTTGGTGGTACATCCATTCATTATCTGAAAAACAGAAATTGCTATTAAATAAAGATTTTGTTCTTCGGCAAATGAAAAATTTAAATGTTTGAAAAAGTTTTCTTGTTTTTTTTTTAAACTGCACACAAATAATAGCTTATTTAGCTTAAGAAATACAGGTAAAATGTGGGTCTTATCATCCACATTGGGGGGAAGGGGCGAGTCTTGCACACTTAGGAGCTCAATGTGTAGTAGTAGGGTGAATTTTAGGAGGTCATTCCTTACTCTTCTTCCGCTGCAATGCTGTGGGCAGGAACATATGGTGCTGGAAGAAATGAAGTGTGCGTTGAACACAGAACCTGATACACAGTAGGGCATAATGGATAATGGTGTCTCACCATGAATGGATGCTGGTTGAATAAAGTTGTAGAGTTGGACACACTGTGTAGTTAAAGGGACTGGAATAAAACTTGAACACCAGTTAGAATGTCTTGGTTAGAAATTAAAAGCAATCTAGAGCCAATTTTCCCTGCTGACAAGGGATGAGCCAACTCATGTGGAGTCCTGTTTAGGTGCTTCTGCCCAGTGGGGTGCAAGTGTTATCCCTGTAAATAGGCCGACCAGATCTCTGTCCATTTACAGACTGAGAAAGATGCCGATTTAGCGGTCTCAAATTAGCGCCAGCGACGCTCTCCTCTGGGCCTCTCCTTGCCCTGCCTTTGCTTTAGCTCCTAAATCTTTCCAAGCTGGAGGCAGAAGGGATTCCCATCCCCAGCTGCCTCCTTGAGTCCCGCGAAGCAGAGGACTCCTCCCCTGGAAACTCCTCCGGGGCTGGGGAAAGCTTTGGCGCATGCTCCGTACCTAGGGCAGGTTTTTGCTGCGGGTAGCAGGGCTCCTGTCACACCGGCTGGCGGGTTGTGGCGGTGCCAGCCAGTGTGTGAGAGTGTGTCTGCGTGCCCGCGCCTGGGCGGACCGACCCGGAGCAGCAGTGTGACTGGCCAGGACAGGCAGCTCCGCACAGGCGCCTCGCCCGCAGCCGCTGCGGGGGCTCCTCTGCAAACTTGCGGCGGGCACCTTCCGCCCTCCTGGCTCCTGCGCCCAGCGACCTGCAGGCAGAGGCTCCGGCGCGCGTGCGGGGCGCGGTGCCCGCGGCGGGCCAGGGCGGCGGGGCCGGGCCGTGCCTTCGCCCTTGGCCCGCGCCCTGGCGAGCCTCATGCAGCACCCGCGCTCGCGGCTGCTGCTACTCGGCTGCCCCGCTGCCCGGGGCAGGTCCAGGACCGGAGCCGCGCGCACTAGCGCCTGAGCGCCTGAGCGCGGGCGGCGGGATGCCCCGCGTCTCCTGAGAGCGCGCACCGTGCCCGGCCGGGAGCAGGGAGCGGGCCGAGTCGGGCGCCCCCGGGAGCGCAGGGCGCCCCACGCCGCAGCCGCAACCGCGCGCGCCGGCGCCCGCCTCCCCGCCCGGTTCGCAGGCCCGGCTTTGCCAGCCTCCAGTGCCGGAGTGCCGCGGGGCCGCCAGCCAGCCGCACGCTTCGGCGTCAGGGGCATGGAGGAGCGGCGGGCTCGGAGCCGCGCCCCGGAGTCTCCGAAACTTCCGAGCCGGCGCTCGTCCGCGCCGCTGCCGCCGCCGCCGCCGCTTCGCCTGCCGGCCTGAGAGCGGGACCATGGATGAAAGGTTCAACAAGTGGCTGCTGACGCCCGTGCTCACTCTCCTCTTCGTGGTCATCATGTACCAGTACGTGTCACCCTCCTGCACTAGCTCCTGCGCCAACTTCGGGGAGCAGCCCCGCGCGAGGGACGCCGGCCAGCCTGCTGCCCCGGGTCCCGCCCGCCGGGCACAGGTGCCGCTGGAGGACTGGGAGCGGCGGCCCCAGCTGCCTCCGCCACCGCGGGGGCTGCCCGAGGGGCCTCGGGGGGCCGTGGCGCCAGAAGACGAGGATGTGGAGCCAGGGGACCCGGAGGAGGAGGAGGAGGAGGCGGAGGAGGAGGAGGAGGGAGAGGGAGAAGAGGAGCCGGACCCGGAGGCCCCCGAGAACGGTTCCCTGCCCCGGTTCGTGCCGCGCTTCAACTTCACCCTGAAAGACCTGACTCGTTTCGTGGATTTCAACATAAAAGGGCGCGACGTGATCGTGTTCCTGCACATCCAGAAGACCGGGGGCACCACGTTCGGCCGGCACCTGGTGAAGAACATCCGGCTGGAGCAGCCGTGTAGCTGCAAAGCGGGCCAGAAGAAGTGCACCTGCCACCGGCCGGGCAAGAAGGAGACGTGGCTCTTCTCCCGCTTCTCCACCGGCTGGAGCTGCGGGCTGCACGCGGACTGGACGGAGCTCACCAACTGTGTGCCGGCCATCATGGAGAAGAAAGACTGTCCACGCAACCACAGCCACACCAGGTACTGTCCCCTGCCCCGTCTCGCTTCTTGCCCTAGTCCCGACCCCGGGCTGCCCTGCGCGTGCTTGGGAATTCCCCAGCGTCTTCCAGCAGTTGGGGCAGAGGCTTTGGTAGGGGCGTAAGAAGCCTCTGGATAGTGCTCTGGTTTTGAACTCGCGCCTCCCCTGTCCACATCGCTTCCCGCTACCCCCCTTTCACCTTCAAAGGTTCCCGGAAACGTCGTGTGTGTGTCCTTGCTGTGCCTAGCACGGTGTGGCGTCCCTCGGAGCGGACAGTCGGAAAACCGTGGAATGGCGAGGAGGCCTGGGTTAGATAAGCGAGGTCGAATCTTGTACGTAAATTCTGTGATTGGAAACTCAAGCCCTGAAGGAGCTGGGCGTGGAGGCAGGGCAGGAGTTTTCCTGGCACGGTGAAGCCGGAGGGGAGCCTAATGCGTCTGTAAGTGGCTCTTGGGTGGCTGCTTGCCAGCTCAGGAAACAATCTCTTGATGGCACTTTGAAGATACACGTGCAAATTCCTGCTCTGCCTCGATAACCCTCATTCTGGAAATGGTTTTTGTTGTTGAGTAATGCTAGGCTTTTGACTCATGCTGTTCTGAGCAAGATTTCCACTCTCCCCCAGGCCAATCCATCAACTCATTCCGAAAGTATTTGTTAAATGCCTATTGTGTGCCTGGCAGTGTGCTAAATGGTAGGTGCATACAAAATTTTAGTAAGTCAAAACCCTTCCTTTCAGGAGAGAATGGCCTTCTTCTCCCCTCCCCCTTTTAAATAGTAATACTGCTGAGAATTAGGAAAGTTTGACATCTTAATAGCCAATGAAACTACTTACATTATTAACATCCGTTGAGAGAGGCATGGGCTTAAGAATTTGGTTGAATGTTCTTTCTGCCCATTGCAATTTGAAGATTAATCTGACATGCTTGCTCAAGGGACTAAAATATTAAAAGCTTGGAACACTACTTTATTGAAGTTTTTATCTCAAAGGTTTCAAACAATTTGGTGTAAGGAAATAGGAATTTAAAAACTCAAGCTCAATATGTTGATATCAGATAGCTTTTGCATCTGACATTATGGGAAAAGCTTCCTGTCCTGGCAGCTACCCAGATTCTGGAATTCACCACCACTGAAGCATCTAATTCTACTTCATTTCTCCAAGAATGAGCAAAATTTCATTATGGGATTTTTTTACTCTGGCAGTTTTTCAAATGCTTTCTCTCCTCCCTGCTCCTTTCCCTGTTTAATGGAAATTGGTTAGACTAAAAACTTGGTTAGACTTGGAATGAGGGTATTAGGCTCTATCTTTAGTATATTTTAAGGAGCTTTTATTTATAGATATTTCTAGTTGTGTAGTATTTTAGCTCCTGCCCCTCTATTTTAGTTTAAAACAGTTTTTCTTTTCTTTTTCTTAATTGAAAGGTAGGCTTTATTTTAAAATTTATTTCAGAGATGCTAGTAATGTATTTTAGGTATCTCTCTCTCTCTCTTTCTCTCTCCACACATACACACGCAGAATCTCTTTTCCAGGTCTTCATCAAATCTAGACTTCACTATTTATTTATTTATTTATTTATTTATTTATTTATTTTTCAATTACTGTTGCCATCCAACATTATTTTATATTAGTTTCAGGTATACAGCACAGTGGTCAGACATCCACATAATTTATGCAGTGATCCCCCCATCAGCCCAGTACCCACCTGGCACTATACATATTAGCCATAAAAACGGTTTTCAATTGATTATACTTCCAAACTTCCTAACAAACAAAACTATTATTTTAGCGAGAGAGAATCTCTGCTGTGCTTTACCCAAAAGTATACTTTTGGGATTTAGACCTTTATGTATTAATTCCTGATTGACCCCAAAGAGTTTTGCTAGTCTGATTGTCACCTTCCATTTCACCAAAACTGGAGACATTGATTATCACATAGACACATCCAGTGACCCTTCACTGGGTATCAACATTATTTTCTACTGATGTATATAAAAGTCTTAGTGAATAGATGAAGGTTTAAGAAGAATTAGAGATTACGGAATCTAAAAATAATGTGATTTTACTTAGTGATGAAATGCTGCTGCTACTGTAGACCCAGGATAGATGACAGCAGTAAGATCTCACTTCTGTAGGAAATACTCAATATCTCTGCACTCTGTGATGGAGGAAAATCCCACTTTGGCTATTTGAACATGTGGCTTCCATTGCACAGTCAAATGTTTGTTTGTTTAGTGATGGACCACAAACCTCCATTTCTTTCTGAATCATAAGTTATCAGATAATAATCCTGCAGTGGTTTGCTTTTATTTTTAAAAAAATTTTGTGGTAGTGTTTTATTATTTTTTTTTGGGGGGGGAGGTAGCACATTTTACAGTCTTTCTTCCTTACCCTTTCTCCCCTTCCTGATATTCTCAATTGCTTTTCTTCTCTAGATGCTGTGGTAAAGAATAGTTGTGGTTTATGCGAGGTGCCGTGCGTCAAAAGCCATAGAGAAAAAGTTGAAGAGATGTTCAGTAGCATCTTCCTCACAGAGAAGATTGAATTAGTTGTCTGTCATTGGACTGTCTGTGTAAGGCATTCCACAGTCAACTAGATTAGCCTGGATAATGGAGGGTACATTTCCACAATGCAAAATGGCAGATAATCTATTGCTACATAATGGGAACAAGGTTCTTCAAATAGGGCTGACTCTAAGCAAAATCAAGATGTAGATCATGTTGATCTTAGTTCCCTTGTCTCTTTGTTTTTGGTTTCCCCGCCCCCCCCACAACACCTCCTTCCCCGTTTCTCACAGAGATCAGTGCCCTTGTGAGTCATGTAATGGGTAAGAGCTAGGATTCTGTAGTCAGATGGCTATGGCACCTGTGCTTACTAGCTGTGTAACCAGGACTAAATTCCTCTTTCTGAGCCTCAGATTCTTCATCTTTAAAGTATAGGTGATAATTAGTACTTCTCTGACGTGTCATGAAAACTAAGAAAATGCATGCAAAATGCTTAGCGTAGTAGCTATTCCTAGTATATGCTGGTATATAGTACTTAAAGCTTAATATGCAGGTATATAGTAACACTTAGACATTAGTTGTTAACTATAATAAGAATATCTTCCCTGATCAAGGCCTTCCTTCATAAAAGGACCTAAGGTCAGTTCCTTGGAGCTGCTCGGTGTAAATAGGTCAGAAAAAGTTTTAGATATGCCATTTTATGATTATTTGTATTGAGACAGAATCCTAAGTTCCAAACATAAGACATAAATGGAAAATTATGGACATTTGGGCATCAGTAATCTCAGGGGGCAGGATGGGAAGCAAGGATGGGGGCACACAATATAACTGTGTATATCTTCTGTTGGTGACAAGAAACACTGACTGGAATGGTGAGGGAGGAGGTGGGTCATGGGAGATGCATGGTGGGGTCGAAGGAGCCATCATATGAACCCAGGAAGGGGCCGGCTTGGTGGCTGGCAGTTTGGATCCAGCACAGAGGGCATTTCTGACCACTGAAAACGTTTAAGATAGGAAGCTCATAGGAAGATGGCACATCTGATTACCTCTTTTTTCATGTCACTGATGGTTTCTTCCCATTCCTTTTCTTTTGTATTTTTCTCCAGTTACATATTTCTTTGTTATTGTATGCTTTCCCCTTTCATCTGCATACCCAGGTCTTTAGAATACTCTTCTCTACCATTGTTGAGGATAGAATCATAGCATTTTATAGCTAAAAATGACTCACGAGATAATCTAGTCCCACAATTTATATGGCAAGCGAGTAATCTAATTTTAAGGAGGTGAAATTGTATGTCTAAGGTTTCCCCAGGACACTTGAGTCTTCATTTTAGTAATTTATATTTAATGTTTTGCCTATAGTTTCTTCTGTTTACTATGAAAAGTATGGTGGAGAGTGCCTTAAGCACCTACTATGTGCCAAGTACTATGATAGTCCTAGGAATGCAGTTTTGGACAAGCAGGGTCAGCCCTAAGAGCTTAGGCTATTAAGGAAAATAGACCTTGATATTCTTTGGTGAGTACCACTCTCATTCTTAAATAATCCTGAGAAAGATTCCATCAAAACCTTTTGTAGGGTAAGATGGCAATTTTTCTTTTTTTATTACAGAATTTTTCATTCTGTTGGTCCTGTTGGAGCAGTTAGAATCTTATGAATATTATATTAGACAAGACCCTCTGTGCTGCAAATGGTACAAACCTAACTCAAACTCAGTTCAGCCAGAGGTCTTTGTAACCAGACAATAGGAAAGGTAGGGGTAGAGTTGGTTTCAAGAATGACTGGAACTGGAGGGTTGGGGTCTTTCTCCTCACATTCTTTTGCATATTGACCTCATTCTGTCAAATTGGCTTATTCCACAAAATGGGTAAATGCCTGTAATATCTAATAGCTCCACAATCCGAGATCAAAGTAGATCTTCTTGGGGTTCCAGTTTGAAATCTTGGGAAATGACTCTGATTCGTTCAGGTTGGAGCTTGTCACTATTATTTCAGTCAATCAGTGTGGCCAGGAACGTGAGGTTCTCTGATCCACCTTGAATCACAGAACTACATCATGACTGGTGGTGGTGGTGGTGGTGGTGGTGGTGTGTGTGTTATCACAAGAAGGGGAGCTAGCATAGATACAGTTCTTAGGTGGACCAGTGGGTTCTAGACAGTTCTTCCACATGTGTCAATTATAGGTGTAAATAAATGAGAAGTAAATGAACCTTCAGATCTCTTCTTTATATTCTATTTAGAAAAAAACTTAAGGCTGACTACAACTCCAGTTTGTTTGCAGCATCTGGGAACCATGTCACATGAGGAATAATTGAAGGAACTGATAATATTTAATATAGAGATGGGAAAAATAAAGAGATACAAAAGTTGCCTTCAGATACTCAAAGGAGGAGGGTGTGAAAGATGGAGAATACTTGTTCTGTATTTCTCCAAAGGATTGAACTAGGGTAAGTGAGACAGAAATGATGGGATAAGGATGTCAACTCAGAGTAAGAAAGAACTTCAT